TACTTTCCACGGGCGAATCCTGGCCAAGCAACCGTACTGCATACGCTATCGATTCAGCACAAAGAAATGTTGCAGATAAACTCTGCGGGAAAATAAGCCGGCAGAAAATATATGTGTCAACATCGACGCACACGGTAGCTTATGTCTTACCAAAATCTTTCACCACGAAGTTTTAAGGTGCTCTTCTATTCTATACTTTCTAATCAAATATAATATAGAGAGAAATCATGTCTAATAGTAGGTCTCTACAAAAAAACACGTCTTTAAACAATTACCCATTTCTCTACAACTCTCCGACAATGGAGACTGGGAAAAACAAAGGAAGGAAAAAAGAAATAGGCATCTGAAGAAGACCCAACTGGATACGACGATGAAGATAACATATTGAGAAAGCGAACGACTGTGGACATCGACTCGGATCATCAGCCTTGAAGAAGACGAGGACGTTGAAACGTTAACCGAATAAATGTTCCATAGCCTGGACATTCAAAGAGATATACCGGTTAGGAATGTTTGGAAAACAATAGAAGGCGGTAGAAGTTCGACACGAATTGAATAACAGTCGAAGAAATCGCTGTTTTGAGGTATAGTCGGCGCTAATTCTGCACAGCAAAAACGACCGTTTTCTTGACTGTGACGTGACGTGCAACGAGATATAGATCTTCAACGATAGCCGGAGAACCTTCGCAGCACTTTGCAAAGCCAAAATTGCACCAAAAAAGGTTATGATGACAGTTGTGGTTCGATCCACCACAGCTTTCTGAATCCAGAGGAAATCCCGACGGCAGAAAAATATGTCCAGCAATTCGACGAACTGCACTAGGAACTTCAACAGCTGCACACATCGCAGTGGTCAACAGAAACGCAACAATTCTCCATGGTAACACGCAGATACACGTCGCGCTAGCCGCGCTGCAAAACTTGAACGACCCGGGCTAGTAAACACTGCCTCATATACTATACTCGCGGCACCTCTCGCCTACACACTACCGCTTCTTCAAGTATATCTGCAGCACTTTATACGAAGGATGCCTCAGAAACGAAGCCGAGGTCTGAACTGTCTTTAAGGACTTAATCGCCTAAAGAAGGCCATAATTTTGCTCAGCCAACTTGCTAGTCCTAAAAAAATGTTGGTTTCAATCTTTTCGTTTCGGTGGATAAGATTTTCTTCAAAAAGAGATATGCAACCTTAAAAGTGCATGTACAAATTGGGCATTTGCATATTTGCACTGTGGTTATATTTCACATATCTCACATGATACCCTGCCACGACCACCGATCCTCCTCGTATGAGAGATCTCGTGCCGGTTAGTCGCGAGGCTACGTGGTGCGTCCCCAGGTAGCGGATAGGGAGTTAATCGCGGACCAAAAACGACGTTTGCTTCCCTGAGACGCAGGTGGATCCAGTGGATGGACTACCTGTTGCTGCTGCGCCGATTTGACACATACTTTCTCTACATGCTAGGGGTATTCATGTGTGTATGGGCGCGTTCTTGCTTGTGCGGATTGTATTCTACGAGTCAATTCGGCCAAAAGACTGCAATCAAGTGACTGGGAAGTACATGGCAGACAGTTAGGACTCGCCTCAATGAGCTCCATGTCCACTCTAGGAGAGCCGGGCAGGCTACCCATGAGCATACTCAGCCCTCACGTTCGGAGCCCAGCAAGCTATACGTGGGCATCAAAAATGCTAAACACAGTTTAAAAAAAAACGGGCCTCATTCACTGAGCCCGAAAAATCCCCCAATTTCGCAGCGTTGGGTAAGATGAGTACGGAGAGGCTGGTAAAATCTCAGAGCCAGTGAAAGCTGCCTGGATTTCAAAGAACTATGGTGACGATCTGTACCTACAATGCACGTACACTTGCATTCGATTTCTCGATAAAAGACTTGCTCATGCAAGCAAGAAGCGTAAAGTACGACATCATCGACCTGGCCGAGACGAGAAGACGCCAACCTTTCAACGCCGTCTATGACACCGAAGAAGAACTGCTCCTCGGAACATGCCCGAGTAGAGTCGGCGGCGTCGGCGTTCTCATCAACACGAGCTTGTCCATGAACATCGATTCATTCGAACAACTTACAACCTGAATCGGATGTTCACGATTAAAAAGACGTGGATCAATTCCGGCTTTCACAAAATTCGTCGTTTACGCGCCGAAATCAAGCTATGACAAAAAAGAAGTTGAAGCGTTCTATAAGGACTTGATGAAGTTCTACAGAGAAGATCACGCATTCTTCAAAGTCATCAATGGAGATTTCAACGCCACGATCGGACCAACAACAACGTCTGAAGAATGTCACATTGGCACCCACGGATTAGAATGGAACGAACAGGGTGAGCGGATATCTAAGTTTATCATGGCGACCATGACAATCCATGGTAACTCGCAATTCCGGAAGCCACATCCTCAGTGCTGGGAGTCTCCAATGGAGAGTACAATAACGAAATAGACCACATCATAGTAAATAGAACGTTTTGCCTACCCGATGTCGCTGTCGTCCCGAAATTCTACACGGGATCAGACGATCGTCTCCTTCGTATAGGATTCTATTTCTCGCAGAAAGGAGAAAAAGCCGCTAACAACCGAAGTCCCAGAACCACCGCAAACTGGGACCTATTCAAGTCATTAGTTGGCTGTTAGGAAGATGCCGTTGTCGATAGCACCAACAATGAATACGATCGGCTCATTCAACATCTTCACATTAGCGCTATGAAAGCTGAGAGTTCGAGAGTCACCAAGAGACGTTTATCTCAAGAAACATTCGAGCTGATACACCAGTATAGAATCGCACGAGCTGCAGGCAACCGCGAACTAACGTCCGTACTTGCAAAACAATGCAGACAAGCAACAAAAGATCTTAAAGAGAGAATAGCAGCAGTAATGGCCGAAGCTGGAGAGGCTAGAAAAAGCATTCGCAAAGCCCACCGAAGTTTCGCCAATTACAAGACCGAGATAATTGCACTCCGACGACCAGATGGAACAGCTACAACGTTCAGAAAGGCAATGGAGAAAATCATTCACGAATACTACTCAGATCTCTTCGATAGCCCTGTCCACCTTCCGTCATATTAAATAAAGGAGGATGGATATGTTGTACCACCGGTTCTCCTTCCCGAAAACCGAAATACTATTTCGTCGGTGAAAAATCGAACAGCGCTAGCCCTGGACAGGATAAAACCCGAACACTTGAAGAACCTTCCGCCAGTCCTCGTAAACACACTGACAAGGCTTCAAACGTTACCTGTCTGAGTGCAAAGTCTCCACTCAGTGGAAGACTAGCAAAACCGTGCTACTGTTCAAGAAGAGTGACTATGCGATATCGGCAACTAACGTCCAATCTGCTTACTGTCTGTAGCCTACAAACTTTTCACTCGAGTCATCCTAAACAGAATTGACAGAACATTGGACGAACGACAGCCATGTGAGCAAGCAGGGTTTCGAATAGAATTTTAGTACGATAGACCACATCCACACGATTACAAGGCTCATTGAAGTATGGCGAGAGTACAAAAGGCCGCTCTGTCTCACTTTCATCGATCGAAAAGGCCTTTGATTCAGTTGAGATGGAAGCAGTCTGGGAAGCCTTTGATAGTCAAGGTGTCCTACTCAGTACATAAAGATTCTTCGTGAGCTGTATAAAAATTTCATAGCCAAGATTTCACCATTCTACAACGATATTAACGCTGATGTCAAAAGAGGTGTTAGCCAAGGGCGATACAATCTCACCGAAATTATTTACCGCCACCCTCCAGAACGTCGTGTGAACATTGGAATGGGATAATATGGGAGTGAAAATCGATGGTCGGCAGTTACATCATCTTCGTTTTGCTGATGGCATCGTCCTTATAACACCAAACATTAGCCAAGCGGGGACGTATGCTTGACGACTTTAATAAAGCCTGTTGAAAGATTGGTCTTCGACTAAATCTCACAAAAACGATGTTCATGAAGAACGGATTGGTTTCGTGTTGCCCATTCACGCTCAACGGAACGAATATCTCTGGTTGCTCCAGTTATATCTATCTAAGTCGGAAATCAATATGATGAACGACCTAGCTCCAGAGCTGGCCAGAAGAAAGCGAACGACTTGGAGAGCCTTCAAGAACATCGAGGATGTGGTGAAGAGAACAAAGAACACCTGACTCCGTTCCCACCTTTTCGACTCAATGGTGCTTTCTGTCCTAACGTATGCGACAGAAACCTGGTCTATGCATAAGCAGGATGAAGGATCACCCAGCGCTATCGAACGCGCAGTAGAAAGGATGATGCTAGGAGTATCCCATTTCACACAACTAAGGGAAGGGATCCGAATCTCCGACCTGCATCAACGATCAAAAATCAAATATGCCGTTCTATACGCCAAACAGTCGAAGACCAGGTGAGCCGGACAGGTAATGCGTATAAATGACAACCGATGGACAAGAGCCGTTAGTGACTGGATTCCTCGGGATGTCAAACATACTGCAGGAAGACCACCGACCCGAAGGTCAGAGTTCTTCACGAAGAGCCTTGAAAAAAGATATGATGCTTGACGAGTCAGTCCCTTAAGCGAGCAGAACCCACTGGGCTGCTTTTGCACGCGACAGGGAAAAATGGAAGATTTACTGGCTCCCGCTTGAGTCAGTCGATGATCAACGGGACTGCAGGTGATACACGTGATGTACAATGATGATTGGTTGTTTTCTTTAAGGCCATGTTTATTTAGTCGACTAATAGTACTTTGTGGTCTTCTAATCTAATCTGTCTTCCAAGGCTGCATAAACACTGTTAATAGAAGTTTGTGATGAAAATACAATTCTATGAACAAGTTCTAATGCCTTTATAACCACCACACAACGTATTTCACCCATCAAACGTCTATTTGTCACTTGTAAACACTAACCGTTAAATTGAGACAATCAAAAACTCGTTCTATTATGTCTACAGTCGGGAAAACTGGGTTGCTCGTTCAAAATGTTCAGAAGAATTCAATCGCGTGGAAGACATCAGCCATTCGTCACAAAAATGCCTTGCCACGTAGGGCAGGATCTCCATGCTTTTCGCATTGGCGCTGAATGACGGCATCTGAGAACGATTTACGATCGTATACGAGACCCAGTGCTGCACAAGTGTCAATAAATAGTCGAGTCCAGTTCAAGTTCAGCGAGTATTCCGATGTACGGTAATCCTAAATGCATGTACATAAACACTTGTTCACACTATCTGCAGCTTCACCACGAATAATTGTTTATAAACTACGCAACTCTCTCACATAAAAGATCTTGGTTAGTTGTCAAACTAAATGATGCCCTCCCAAGGCGGCGTGAAAAGGATTAAACGTAGACGAAAAATGTCGCTTCACTTGTAATAAGACGGAAGCGCGGCTACGGGTTTACGGGTTAACGTGATCGGCCTCCTATTTTTGCTTGGTCAGATTGATTTATGACATTCGTATAAAGATTACTGTACTCAAATATATGTGAATGGATACGTTGGTGGTGCAAATTAAATCTCATACGGCTTGATTTTACGAAAAGCCTCTAATCAGTGTATGACAGATGATTGTGTACCGTTTGCAACAGTATTCTAAATGTCTGTTCAAGAAGAGTCCAGAGTACTTACAGCTTCTAGGGTAGACCCGGTAAGCCAGCTGTGAGTTTATCTTCACCAAAAATTGTAAAGATAAAAAACGCCTGCAATTGTGTAATATTCTTCTTCGCCCCAACGAGCAAATAATAAATTCACTATAATTTCCCTCGCTCAGTAAAAACCAAAGAACGCCTGTTTTTTTCGTAGTTTTATAGTCTCTTTACCCTGAAAGGAATCAATAAACAAACATGAAGATATGTTACCTGTGGGAAGGTATGATGGAAATTATGACCCCCTTCGCCAATAGCGGATACTGTGGTCCAAACAGATTCCACGGATGTAATAGCCTTGTCATATGGCTTGAACCCAAACCTGAGTGAATGCATTATATTACTTAACAGCCGTAGGCGATCATCTATGTCGGGCTGTATTCGTTTGACTTTGTTATAACCTTAAAATCGTCTCTTTTCAAAACCTAGCAAGCCTATAGCCTACGTACATGGAATCACTCTAAGCCAATACAACGACTTTCTATCCATGCTAAGGACAAACGGAAATTAGTTGACTGACAGCATAAAGAAACGAACCTATGAGCAGCACTGTTAATCAACCAGGTAGCATGCAATAGAAGGCAATAGCGTAGTAGTCCAGCAGTGTAGAACGCAACGAATACCGATTCATCCCAGAATTTCACCGGAATCGCTGTCGGTAGTAAGAAACAGCAAATGAGAACTAATGGCTTGTAGTACCTAGAGTAAATAGGTGTTGAGATTTTTATTATTTGTTCGTAGATTAGAATCTTATACGAACTTTCTCTGGAATGTACAAACGGGATCAGCAAAGAGATCGGACAAATCTAGTTTCTTCCCGTAGTCCTTAATCTAAAAACGCCATCTTTCTCATTAATTTACTTGTTTGGTAGGATGATATCATTAATTCGAAACCATTACCCGTGGGTGTTTTCTCATTAGAAGCCATCCCATATGGGCGAAAAAGAATCCTCGAGTGGTGTTATGTGGATCGGCGTCAGTGTCTGTCCACTTGTGATGACAACGATGGTCACGAGCCCATTCGATAATGTCGTTCTGAAGATTGATAAAATAATAAGACATACGGAAATAGACCGTTCGACTTTGATCAGTTTTACGATCGGTCACGGCGGTCATGTAATGTATTAAAAAGGCGAGAAAATTTTAAAATCTATCTCCACTAAAAAATGCAAATATGGGAGTGTGGCGCTGCTAATAGAATAAATAAATTAGGGATAAACAATGAAGTTCTCAGCGTTGGTCAATCCTTGAGGGATGCGCAATGCATTCGACTTCATTAAGCATCGTTGGAGGTGACTGAATGCATATTTGGCCTTTGCAATGACTCGCGGTTGCCAACCGATGTGTCGAACCAGTGTTTCTATCGTCTCAGACAAGTCTGGTACCAATTTGCCGACCCCGGAGGGATGGCAACCTTGCTGAGCCACGGACGCGTGGACCGATCCCATGTGTGTATCGCAAAACGCCTCCGATCACTACGCTAAACAAGCTCCTGTAATTAATAAATAAGTGTTAAAAATTCACCTTTTCCCTCTAATATTATTAGGTTAGTGCTCTTTAATAATACGCTGTTTTCCTAGTAAGCAAACAGCAGTCTTAACTGAAAGGCTTGCAAAGAACACAACGGTGGGTAGTTCTTCGCATTCTTCTTGAGCAAACGCAAAGTGTTATTACATTCTTTATTCACGAACAGGCAAACGATTCGGCGGATTTCTCCTTCCTTAAAGCCTGGAAAGGTCAAGTTCTTATCGTGCTGGTAGGTACGTCTCGCAATAAATCCCATAATCCCAGACTCTGAGGAAGGAAGGGAAACGAAACGTCAGCTTTTTCGTGAATAAAGAATAAAATAACACCTCGCGTTTGCTCAACAAGAATACGAACAACGGCGAGTGTTGAAAAGAAACTGCTTAGCATGCGAATGGAAATTTGTGTACTATCTTTCATCTCCTGAGGTTATGAAGTGTTTGGCTGAGTGGATTTCGTATCACTATCGACTGATTGATTGAATATTTGACTCCTCCAAGCTTTACGAAAGCGCCGAATCGTCGGCTGCTGTGGATGAATAATGACAGCTTCGTGTTTGCTCATCAAGAAAACAGCGAATTATTTATCAATCTCAATTATTTAAAAAAGTTGCTCCTAGTATTTTGAGTAACATTTTCTACAATTTCCTTTGCATTAGAACTGTTTTTAACTAACCTGAAAAGCTGAACTGTTCATGATCATCAACAGAATGCGTAGTGGTAGTTTGGCTTTGTATGAACGATGCGACCAAAGACGATGTGCACCGGCGGTAATGCCGAGACCACCGAAGACATGTAAGAACACCACTGAAATCTTTCCATCAGTGAATTTCTATGCCGTAATTATTTACATAGGCGCGCAGGGAACGCATTGGAGGTGATGTCGATCATTACAAACATGCTGCTACTCTGACCCCGGTCCGGGATCTCTAAGCTTCTCATCATTCTGAGATCAGAAAATTGATACTAGAACTGTCTATGATGCAGTGACTTTCTCCAATCCAAGTGGGAATGCTATAGCCCGGCTATCTAAGGAGAGTGACTCGACCAGCATTCAACGACATTTACGACGAAAGGAGAATCTTTACACGTCCGCCGAACTCACATGCAAAAAAAAAAGTTGGAACGCCTTTGTGGACGACGGAATCCAGAAACAAACCGAATGCAAATGCTGCGATCAGCATAGTAATGTGAAGGACGGGTAGGGTGAAACAATTTTAAAAAATTACTTCCTTATGTAAAATTTTTTGCAACTATTGAATACAACTGCCACTTCGTTGTCTGATTTCTTTTAAAACCAAGCCTGTTATAAAATAACGAGATTATTTTTACTCTTCATTTCTACTCATTCTCTCTAGAACGACTTTCCTTGGACGATCACTAACAATTTACTTTTTTCCTGCGATGTGTTTTCCCTCCCACGCAACTTTTTTATAAGCATGCACTGAGAGGGGTTTGCGTGATCGTTCTACTCAGTTTTTTCACGTTTCAAGTTCCTCCTTTTTTCCTAACGTGTTTCAAGACCATTCATAGCAAATGGTTGGAGGCCGTTGCAATACACACGGGATTGTTGGTCCTACCCTGTCTCCAAGCGGACTAATCTTTCCACCCTTCAGATGCAGTCAAGTTGTAGCCAGATTTCACCAGAAGGATAAAATTGATACATTGATAGGCCTAATATATATTCAACAATGCATATTGTATAACAATGTCTACGATGCTACGACTAAAACCGAATGAATTGTGTTTCAGTGAGCAACTGATTAACAACAAACTCTTTGCTGTTTTATTCTCTAACCCTTTTATAAGTTTTCTGTGCATTGTTTTCCAATTAATGGTCGTATCAGGAAGGCCAAATTTGGAGTTAATGAAGAGATCTTTAAGAAAAAAAAGTTTTCAAACGGTGATTTAATTAAAGGATGCTTATCTTTCTTAATTGGAATGGTCAGGAGTTAAGCCTAACCACATCCATTACGTAGCTCGCGCCTTAGTAGTGTATGTTTCCTTTGCACATATAAGAATTTTTTTATGGTAGCGTATTATGCGAACCATAACCACAACGATGCTGAGATATTTGCAAAACTCCGAACCGTAGGTGTCTGCAGTGGGGATCCAACGCGTTATTACTCTTTCCAGGAACTAACGCGGTCACTACCAAACGATGCCGGTCCCTCGTTTCGCCTGTCTATCAGCTAGTTTTCTATCGACCAGTGCCATATCTCAGCATCGTCGTGCTTATATTGCCTGCCGTAAAAAAAATTGTAGGCAGCATATAAAAAGTAAACATTGTGATGTTAACTTCAATGAAGGAAGCGTTTGGCGTAGTGATCGGGGGCGCTCTGCAACACACGTGGAATCGATTTCTGCGCCCATGACCCACCAAGCCTTCCATTCCTCTGGGGTCGGCAGATTGGTGCCAGACTTGTCTAGGAGGATAGCAGCACTGGCTCAATACATCAGTAGGCGACCGCAAGTCATTGTAAAGCCCAGATATGCATTCAATCACCTCCAAGCGATGCTTAGTGAAGTCGAATGCATGGCGCATCCTTCAGAGATTGATCAACGCCGAGATCTTTGTCCATTTTGCCATTTTTTGTGATTTCAACTATAGCTTTAGCGTAATTGGATTCGATGCCGATGTGGGCTCTCTAGATCAACCCCGTTCATTGCTGTTGGCACGGATCGATGGAAAACTAATGTAGAGAGGGGCGAAATCAAAGACACGCACGGTGTGGTAGTGAACGCGTTAGCCCCCGGAAAGGATACCTGCGGTTCGGAGTTGTGCAAATATCTCGGCATCGTTGTGGTTGTATACAAATAAATTCATATATATATATATATATATATACATGTATATGATCGTGAGAAATTTTGCAAATATGACAACTTTTTAGAGTGATACCAAGGGATATTTGGAACAACAATGTTAATAATCAACACCCTCACTAGGAAACTTGTAGCACAGTGGTTAGAAATGCCTTCTAATACACATGTAGTCATGAGTTTGATTCCACGCTCTGCGTTCAATAAGCCTTCTTCCATCCCTGCGCGATAGGCATATTGATATCAGAGATGTATGGAAAGATAGTAGCATTGACCTGATACATCAGCATGTGATTGCGAATCAATGTCAGGGATAACGCAAAGGCCAACGTTTTTATCGCTTTAACACCCTCTCATTGTCCCATGAGGTTCTGCGGCACGTTCTCATTTATTTTCACCGCGTTCGCTGCTAGAGGAAGATAAGAACACTCTTGACACATGCGAATGAAATATTTTCCGGATGATTGTGTGGAACGTACGACTTTTGATGCTGATAAGAAAACAAATTGTAGCTCAACCAGTTGAGGAGTCTTTGGAATGATCTTTAAAACGGCTTCACTACGCTACCACGCAATTCCATAAGTGACCTAAGAATATCTTTCATTAAAAGTCAGCGCGCGCTTGCTTTTCAAATTCTACGAAAAGGATACAATTCCTTACACACACACACACACACACCCGACAAGATTTAAGGTTTGTGGAGTCTCTAGTAAGAAGTGTCCAACAAGAAACATAGTCCTTAGTCCCATCTTGCGCCTCGGGCCAAACAAATCTTCAGTCACTTCTGGATCGACAACTTAGTAGCAGAGTTGCCTTTGAAAGGCAAAGAACCAAACAAAACTATCGAACCATGACTTGAAACATCAAAAGACCCCAAAATATCACATATAACTCAAATACGCATTTAGTCATTTCTTGAAATCGCATATATAACGCATTCTAAAGAGATTGGTCAACGTTGAACTCTCGTTTCATGTTTTATATTTAGTTATCTTTCAGTCATAACGGAAATTTGTTTGACTCATGAAGCTATATAGAAGTGAAAAACTCACTCCATACCACCGTCTGCCATTTCGCTTCGAAAATCACCTGATAGAGGCCGATCAGGCTACCGACGTGCAATGCAGCAAACAGAGCCACATTTCGATAAACCACTTTTGTTTTGTAGTTGTACTGAAATTAGGAAGAACGTCTAATGCACTCTTTCATCGCAATGGTGCACAACCTAACCGTTGTGAAGGAATGTGCTTGCAGAAATGAGGTTCTCACCAGAAGTTGTAACCATATCTAGTAAGGTCAAATAAGTTGCGAAACATGGCGACTGGAATGGTCTCATGAACTACTTTTTTGTCTGCAGCTAAGCTTGAAGCAAACATATGCCAGCAACACTGTCCTCGCAGATTCACATCAAATTCTGACCTATTCTTCTTCATTTTAAGAAGAAAGCAGGAAGAATCAGTATACTTACTAATCCCAGCCAACGACCTCGCTCGGTTCCGGAAACCGTAGAACCCCACTTTTATATCCTTTTTCACTTCCCAAATAATTTTATCCCAAGTATTTAATGACATGGGCTGTTCCCAGACATTCTGAAAAATACCTTGGCTTAAGGCATCCTTACGGTTCCTAAAACGTTCAGTGCCGTTCAGTAGTAACGACGAAGGAGTGGACTTCTATCATGGGAATTCTTCCAACAAAGCCACATGACCAACCGAAAAAAGATCCCCGTCAGTGTAGAAACCTGCACAATTATTCAAAAAGCAGACCATCCTAGTACTGAGTGACGAAGAATTTTTTCAAAAGATTGTGAAAAAAACCCTTCCTTACGAAATTCATCGAGACGATGTATAAGAGACTGAATAGACGAAAGAGGTCTTCTTGAATAGTAACATGGATTTGATTTATTTATGACGATCAGTGAAATGTTCTGGATCAAATTTAACCCTTACTTACATCGACCTATATTGGTTCGAAATGAATGGTAGTGTTAGTGAAGAACGAAACATCACTGTTACGTGGAAATTATTCAAAACACCTTTTTGCTTTCCTCTTGAAGTTTCTCGACCTCGTCAAGTTCAGCGGCAAGGAATTGTTCAGAGATGATCTCATCAACTACTGGTTTCTTCGTTTTGATCCTCGTTGAGATCGTCATCCTGTATGAAGAAGTTCAGTTCAAGCAAAGTCAGGAATTCAAGTTCATTTCAACACGAAGCTTCAAGGAAGAGGCTGCTAACGATAACGATACAATACTTGGTGATGGAAAAGATAGGAAGTAATAATACTGTTTCACTGAAAAAATGCTTTTACTCGAAGGAAGAAACATATCTAGTTTGCAAGAAATGAGAAAATTCTAGTTAATCTTGCCAATTCAGGATGTTCAACATAGCAAAAGAAGTTCAACAAAGTATGTTCAAAAGAAAGATGAAGAAATTTCCAACAAAGTTTCCAACGCTCGTCAGCGTTAACAAATGGAAAAAATTCGCTTTTTCAATAAATAACTATATTCGCCAGTATTATACTTATATTCGTTTTTCTGTTCGAAAACATCTGACATGGTCCTCAGAAGCCATGCCCGCAAGGCCGGAGGTGTTGACATACGAATGCCGTCGTGGGAATGTTAGTGTTTCATGGGTGGACGTGCCGGTGATCGTACTTCGCCGCCTCACACATCCATCACAACAAAAGTACAAAATAAAAGAACAGTGCAATGATTACAGCTGTTTCAGTGAGCTGATACTCTTTCGATACGAAGAGCAGAAAAAACAATGGGCTGATTGGTAACACACTGACAGTGCTCAAGCTATAAACGAACTATAAGGGCGGTGCATTTCTAAGTGCTTCTATGAGACGTTTATCAGATAACGGCATACGAAAACACGATCATTCTGTTGACGAATGAATACTGGAGCTATAAAACCAGTCCAGCTTTCTGCAATGGAGTTGAAGGTGATCGGTTAGCGCTAGTGCTACTGTTGACTGTCGATCTTGACAATTGGTCTCATCTACCTAGTGTGGATGATAATCAAACAGTCCTGCTCAGGGTTTTACAACATCTGTACGACTCATAATCCAATTAATCACCGAATGAATGAGAGAACACGACTATGGTTTCTTCTCGTTCTTGTCGTGTACTGAGTGGGTTTAGAAGTACAGCATGACCGTTCCCCTTTGGTTTGAAGTATGCAACGTTAGCCGAATAAACATCTTTATCAACTTTGTGTAAGTTCAACAATTTAAACAGATGTCGCCCATTTTACTATCGAGGTTAAATAGCAGTCAGTTTTAAAATTTTTGGCCTGATGGCTCTGATTCTTTGTTCCCAGCATTCCTATAATAGGTTAACCACTGGTAGCTCTTCCAACTCTTTGCAATTGAGACATGATGGGCGACAAGACTGGCTGTTCAAGAGAATACATATTTGTTGAATACCACCTTCGTCATATATACTTCAAATTCTCATGGCTGCACACTTTTGGCAGAAAAGATGGCATTCAGAATATAATGCGTTCATCTATAAGAACACTAGCGAACATGGATAAAACGCTTCGTAACTCGTCGTGCATTCGACTCTATTGGTAGCGTCGTAGATGTGACTGGTTGCATATTTGACCTGTATAGTAATTTACAGCAGCCCAGCACTGTATGAAATCGGTTTTTTCCTCCCGGACAAGTTAGGTAACATTTGGTCGACTTCGAAAGCATGAAGGAGTTACTTTTCCCTGCAAACATAACCAAATGTGTATTTCAACACACTTCTAGCTACAGCACTGCACATATGAATATGACTAAATTGATACAAGAGTTATGCGTTAACTCTATTGAGTGAAAACAGATAACTCACCCTCTTAAATCATTTTCATCTCATGAAAAGCACACTGCTCTTTTTAGTGCGTTCTTAACACATATTTAAGATCAGTGACGAGCTAGGCACCGTTTCGATCTCACGAACCTAGGCCTTACATTTCTAAAGAGTCGGCAATTTGGTAATAGATTTTTCCCCCGAAACAAAAAAATTGACTTGATAGGTCAGCAGACTCCCTCAAATCATTGTGAAGGCCTAAGGTCTTCGATTACTTATTTACACGTTCCTATAAACTGAATTTGCTGAGCTGCTGAGAGGTAGATATAAGTTGTAATCGTTGTTGTTGTCGTTGTTGTTGTCGTTGTTGTTGCTGTTGGTCGATGGCTTGTTGTTTCTCAGGAAGGAGAAATTGCGTCAGCCATCGACCAAGAACAGCAACAATAACGACAACAACGACAACTTGTACCAACCTCTCACCAGCTCAACAAGATCAGTTAATAAGAACATATAAATAAATATATCGATTATTTATGTCGAGGTTTACAGAAAGTCGGTCTTTTCACTTATGTCTTCACTCACCCTATGATGTTACGAATGAAGTCGAATGCATCCCACATTCTTAAAGCATTGATAAACGTCGAAAGCTTCATTGTTCCATCGCTTTAAGCTCTATTACTCCTATAATATCGCAGTTGCTAGCGGAAAATAGGCCTTCGAGTCACTTCTCGGGGCCGAATATCCACTTAGTTTTAAGCAGAGTGCTCGAATTCGTGAGAAGACGCCACGCGGGACTTCTCGTATTTGACACAGGGCCTTTCGTCACTGGGATTAAACCTTTATATACATGAATGCAACACCAATACAACAGGAATAACGGTGGAAAAATACTGGCGTAAGAATAAGGCAATGAAGTGGAATGTAAGACTCAATAGAGACTGCCGAATCCCAGTGCTCATGCGTCTCTACCTCCAAGCGAGCGTCATTGGTCGTGGGGTCAAGGCTCGGGTCGCGGGGTCTATTCCCCAAGCAATGAGACGTACCTAATAGCATGCCTGGTGGTGTGACTGGTGGTTACGAGATGCTATGCCTAGTCGCATTGTGCAAAGGTCGTCTCTATCGACTTATTGAATGTATTTTTTAAGGCAGAGAATCCGCTATTTGATAGAGGAGTTCTCTATACGAATCTCCTTAGGATGGGATCAAAATATTTACGTACTATGACACTTACCAGGTAACTCGAGAAACAGTACATATGATCCTCACTGCAGAAACACAGTGATAGAAAGAAATGGTAACTATTCCGGGGATAGTTGCTATAACGAGCGTTTCCGTTCCGCAAGTAAAATTCGAATAATAGTGAAATGTGAAAAAATCCGAAGGCCGTCTTTAATTTTAAAAGTATTCTTCATTTTTTGTGGCGATCGTCTTTTTAAAGATGCTGGTAAATTGTGATAGAAAGCGGAATTTGGCCCTCGTTGTAAAAGTGTAGCCTACACGTCGTGATCTTCATCTCTCACAGAAATCGATGCTATCGAAAGCTTTTTGTTTCCCCAGTGATTAATAGCTGTGGCGAAAACTTATCACCATAGCGTTTTGATAACAAACATAGATTTATATTTACGGCTTTATGCAACTACCAAAGAGCCCTCCCTACCCCACATTTCGTGCACTAAGTGACCTAAACGAAAATGTCGGAAATAGGACGTTACGCAAAAATAATAGCGTGGCTGACAACATATTTCCTCCTTAAGATCACTGCTATAAAAAGGAGAAACATAAAACAAAGTCCCTACCGCTAGCGGTAGATGAGGAGTTGTGAAGTCCACACAGTTAGAGAAGAAAGTTTGCTTTAGCACCTTAAGAGCATGAATAATCTTCTTAAGATGCAGAAAGCCAATGATACAATGAAATATCATGAAAAAAGTGCCTTTGGTGGGCTCAAAAAGAGCAGGATTTCCACTTGGTAGAGTAGAAAACTTGAACTGCATTGGTAAACATCTCTAAATTCTGTCGCCTCCTATACATTGAATGATCTACTCAATCGAATTTGTTTCATATCTCCTTTTCAGCAGCGTAAGCTCTTGTTCAGCTACAGTTGGAGATTACTCTGAATCTAAAGAAGAGTTAATTTTCTCCATGAAACCAGTTTTCTCTTAACCTCCACATGAGCGATGAATATATTTCCTTAGAGTGTTCAGCTTACAAAGAGTTGTTAGGAAACTCTTTATTCGGCTACCATTTCGACGTCTTCGGCTTCCTGGTGACCGCGTTGATAAAGAGAACCGCATCATTGTGGTAGTATTTCGCATAGAATTTTAAAAATCTTTCTTAAAAGTTTTAAAATTGTTTCTCCGAAATTGTATTACCATGACTAAAACAAAACATGCTAAAAGACTTGAATTCATTTGAATTAAAAAGGGTAAAGGATAAAGCACCGGGTGTTGATCAGTCCCTCTAAGGATGCGCCATGCATTCGATTTCATTAAGCATCGTTTGGAGGTGAATGGATGCATATCTATCGTTTACAATGACTCGCGGTGGCCTACCGATGCATCGTGACAGTGTTGCTATCCTCCCAGACAAATTTGGATAAAAAGTGATTACATTATGCAAGGAGTATTATGTTTGCCTTTTAGTTTTGGTATGCTCTTGTTCCAAGAAATACCCAGAAGCCATCGCGCAATTCAAAATTAGAAAGCAACGAATTGCTTCTCAGAAAAGCTGCTCAACACCGTAGGCGTTGCCATTTCGGGCAGGTAGGGGCAATTCTGATCCTCTTCACTGGCTACACCCTCTAGACTACAACCCTCTTCAATAGCAGTGGTCTCTCGCCTTAGAAATGACAAATTGCTGGGAAATTGTTAAGACTTCTGCATACCAAAATAAACCATTGGAAAGCAAATAACACCTATAGGTGTTTTATCGGCCACTCCCGGAAAACTATTATGGCACCTATATGTTCATTCGTTGCGAGAGTGTTAAACCAGCAAAGTGGAAGAGCTATATGACATAGGCTCCACAAAATCATAATTCCGTTATGGTGAAGCAGGAGAACTTTTATATCTTAGGCAAAAAATTCTGGCCTCTAACACTTTTTATTGTCATCAGTTCGCTGCGTACATGTTCACACTTGTGTAACGATGATTAATTCTATGTCTTTATGGACCTCCTGGTTTTTTAACCACAGAAGATAATATTTTGATAACCAGAAGGCTTTATGGGTTTAGAAAAGTAAAAAATTGTAGGAAAGACTTTGCTCTAGTACTCCGTGTGTATAAAAGAACAAAGGATAAAGCTCTTAGCGTTAATCAACCCCTGAGGGATGCGCAATGCATTCGACTTCACTAAGT